CTGGCAGGGATCAACTACGGCTGATCGACGAGAGTGAAATTCGAATGGTAGAAAAATTTCCCACTCCTACACGACGAAGGAAAGTTGAATGTGTGATTGTGCGATACGCCTGTGATAAGCCACTGGAGCATCTTGCGCACATCCGAAGCTACTAGCTTCAAGCTAGTATACATATCCGGGCGATACAGATGACTAAAGCTTGATTATCATGATGTTGGTTGTCTGGTGATCACTAGACTTGGCTAATCTTTCGCCCCTCTCCCAGGTTCATCTCTCGATATGGAGGTAGCAGATCTAGAATTCGGATCCATTTTATTCATTTTTCTCAGATCCATTTTTTGTCGATCTAGAATTCGTCTCCAAAGATATTTCAAGATAAGTCCGTAGAGAGGCTTAGATTGTATTCGTCGTCAGGCAGTCTCAGCCATGATAGATGACCGCTGACTGGAGTCATTCTAATGGAGTGCGGCGAGTCACACTACCAGGGTTTGTCCACAGTAACCACCGCTATGTGGTTCGATCTGTCTAGCAGCTGATTGTCACGACGATGTCGCGAGGCTCACGAAGTGAGCTGCTCCTGCGTTATAGCCTATAACTTATAGGCTGCTCTGAACAGTCTGTGACCTAGGAATCTCACCAGCTATCCCCAGCAGCATCTGCTGTGCTACAGCAGCTGTGGGCGACGCGCTATAGTATGACGCGATATAGCTAGGGAAAATTATGGCGGCCATACTTTCCCCGGGTTATATCGGACAATCAGCTACATCTGTCCATCGCGTCCTCCATGTCATTGAGAATTTCACACACTGTTAATATACCAATTTTGCGTCCTAAAATCAATTTCCAGTACCGTTCAGTTAATTCAGTGCAGTCGTGTTACTTCAGTAACGGAGTTACTGTAACTCCTGGAGCTAAACTACGATTACAACCGGGATTTCTCTCAGTTTCCCCACTTCTCGATTTTCCCCATTTTTACTGAACAATATCGCTGTTAATAGGACCAATTCCACTCGTGGAACCTTCCTCACAAGCCTTTACAAGGAGCAAAAAATGCAAGGTACCTCACGGTTTCAGTGTGAGGCGCTTTCACATCCTTAAGGTTCGGGGAGTAGGAGCAAGGTAAGGTGGCATGAGGCTCCTCACCGTAAGGCTCCTTACCCTACAAGGCGCCTGCAGGGCCTCCTCACGTAAGGCGATTTCATAGGAGGGATTTTTGACCCCCTCTTTGTGACCCTTATGTGAGGTGCCGTAGGACTGCTCCGGAGGTACTTTACGGCACCTTATCGCACCCGCCTTATCATCTACGGCGGATTCGCTCCGCTTTTTCCCACCAGCCCGCGCGTCTCGCCCGCGGATGATCTATTCAATGGCAATAACCTTATTTTTGGCTATATTGAAACACTGCGTCGACTCTTCCATGCGCGTCGGTGATCGTTTAGGTGCTCACGTCATGCCGTTCGCAGTTGATGGAGGTTCTGTGATGGGAGTTTGGCAATATGTCACGGACGAGGGTGGATCTCACAAACCCATGTGGGAAGCAGTCCACGTCCGTGACGCATTCAGTGCCCGGGATGAAACACGGCTATACCAATCAGCCACCGTGCAGATCCCGGGTGAATGCCCCCCATCTCAGATAGAAAAAAAATATGAACACCGTCACACCCAAGATAGCTCGTCTGATGCCTAACTAAGAGTGCTTGAGGGTTTCCAACAGGAATTCTCAAGCACTCTGGGGGAACTTTCTCTGTTCTTGGGTGTGTGGTCCGAAGGTGATCAGACTGGATCACTGCTTTAGCAACGACTTGACGTCTTGCTTTTCTCTTAAAATTCCGTCATCTGTCTTTCGGCTATCCGTGAACTTGCTCTCTTGGGAGACCTTCACTCCTCGTGCTCGTTATTGGGTTCCACGAGGTGAACCTAAAATTTAGGAGCATAAGAGGCATGGGGGGCAACTGCAGTGAAAGCACCTCGCGTAAGGTGTGAGGCAGCCTTACTAAGGCTCCTTGCTCTTGAACTCAAGGTGCGTCTTAAGGAGCGTTTCTTGTGAAATAGGCCCCGGGCCGTGATTTTCAATGAGAGTCCTCAGGCACTAGTTTTTGACGGAAACTTCCCTCCCCGAATGGAGATCTCGCTGATAGTGGAATATTTCACTGAAACACTCCGGAAGTAATTCACTATGAAATTTTTCAGCCACCCTGCCTTCAGTGAACCGTTCATTGCGGGTTCCTCGTGTGACGGAGCATTTGTCGGAACCAATCAACAAAAATAGCATTAACCTTTGAGAAAATGAAAGACAACCTGGATCAAAATCCTCGGCGAGCAGCTCGAGCTCCCGCTGCATGCGACTGATACGCAAGCATCATTGGGGATATATGGTACCACCCCAGCGAGCGTTCGCTCTCGAAATGAATAGTAGTTATCGTAGTCCAAGATGTTGATGGAATAGGTCGACCAGAGTAGAGTTAATGATGATAATGAAACTGCCACGAGAAGTGCTCAGATCACTCAGTGATCTGAGCACCAGTGATTCACCACTGGTGAGTAGCAGAGATACGAGATACAGACATACAAGCTCTGTAGAGGACACCTGTATCATCGCTATGCGAGTGACGATAAGTGTCAAGCGGAGATCGCGCAGACATACGGATTCTCATGGCTCATAAGTCATGAGAGCCATATTGCATGGGGGCAGAGCCTGATTGTAGAGAGCTGTCATGTAGAGAATTTTCCCATGAAAAGCGTAATAAGTGAGAGCTGCTACCGGCACGCCCATTCTTATCTTTCTTATGAGCCTTGCCACCGCGGCCGTGTCAAGCACTGTTAACGTGTGGGTCGATTCAACGTAGGAGTAGGGCAAATAACCGGTATAGCCATAACGATACTCATATCGATCGCCACCATAAGATCGATTCCAAGAAGCCCATATCTTGATATCCTCCGTCGTCACGAATATGTCGTAGTAGGCTACGCCCAGCATGGCGATTCGGGTACCGCAATATTCCCCGTTCGGCTTAGCCTGGAGAATGGGGTGAACGACGAGGACGAGGATAGCACCGACGAGACTGCGCATTTTGGCCTATAAACTCCTGAACTTGAATGGGAGGGAAATGCTGAGATGATACTCAGCTTGCACACTTGCACATTAACGTATAACGCGTGAGCCCTATGTTGGTCGAGGCTAACGGAAACACCTTGAGAAGTGAACCATTCTTTTTCTTACTCTGTGTTTCCTTATTCTACAATCTTGTTGTCGGTGCTTCTTGATGCAAGAATCTTGCACTGCTGATGGTACATGGGAAGCAGTATCTCTGCATACTCTGTTTGTGCGCACTTCCAGCAGCTATGATAGAATCGATCAAGTTGGGGCGCACACAGTTGCACACTGTTGGTATTAGTCATTTCGATCTCGCTTGATTTGGTGTAACGTATCATCAGTGATGTTACATTACACCAAATCAGTGAGTGACGGTGAGATCAAGCCAGGCCTGCTGCCGGAAAAGTAAGAGAATCGCCCCCAATCCGGAAGTTTGAATCGCACATCAGTGATCATATCATATTGATCACCTCCTCATGCATCATTTTCCACATTGCAAACACGATCAGTATGAACTGGGAAACACCAATAGAGTTATAGCACTTGAGCCATATATCGGACACAGGCCATGTACAACATTCCACGGTGGAGCGTTGGAGTCTCCAACATGGGAAAGATGCTCTAGGTAAATGGAGCTTGTGCAACCAAAGACACCAGTTGAATACAAAAATTTAAAATTCACTACACCAGAGCGTGGGTTCCCATATACCATGGGACACGTCATACCCATGCATTAATGTACCACTAATAGGCGAAGATCTTAGAACCCGATTCGTCGAACCAATCTCCTATCTCCCGTAAAACTGCTCTTACGATACTTTAGCCCGCGCCATGCTCACACAGCCCCACGTGAATTCGAACATTTCAACTTGAAATTTTCAAGTCTTGAAACTCATGACCAATCTCTGGTCACAGAATTTCAGTTTCAGCCATACTTGAGAGGGCACCCATTAGCGTAGAGTTCTATGTGTACACGGATAATCAGCCAATTTCCACAGCTCATTTAAATTTAGCTTTTCCATTTGCTGCCCTATTCATACTGAATAATAGTAGGTAATAGCAATAATAATAGTAATACTACCTGCCTACTGAATAATTCAGTAGGCAGGTCGCACCTGCGTGATTGCCGCACCGTAGAGGGATTCCCCCCCCCAAATTTTTAGAGATCGGCCCCCAAATTTTAGAGCTCGGCCCAAAATTACGGTTATACGGTATAACCGGTATAAGTTTTACCCCCCAATTTCCTACACTACTTTTTTCGGCTTCTTTTGGATAGGCCGCGTCTTATATAGCACTGGCGTGGGACAGGTGAACCCTTACTCTGTGATCTGAGCGAGTTCGAGCAAGGGGACCTCATTACAGGGAGGGTCGCGTCTTATACTGCTCCGAATAGCCAGCACGACAAGTTGAAGAAACCCACAGGGCTCTTCGGACTGGAGCTACTAGCACTGGCGTGGGACAGGTGCACACTTACTCTCTGATCTGAGCGACTTCCAGCACGGGAAGCTCATCACAGGGAAGGTCGCGTCTTATACAGCTTCGAAACTCGAACGATCAAACGATGGTGCCGAGGTGCTTATTCGTCGTTTCAAACGATCTGTACAAACGAGCATCCATGCCTCGAGCGCGCGTCTTGTGATAGTCCGAGTTCTGCTTGTAACCACGGAGCAGCTCGATGTGGTGTGCCTTCTTCAAGAAGGCGCCTTCAACTTCGTTCAAGTTGAACGTTGCATTCAATTGCATGTCGTGTTGTAGCTGACCCCACAGCTCACTAACGAAAGCTTCGTCACCATCTCTATGGACATTTGTTCCCCTCCGGCTACCTTCAGAGATCCGCACCAACAAATCTGGTTTGGGCGGCCAATAGGTCTCTGCCAAGCTCCAAGGACTCCCTGGACTCTTGAGCGAGGCAAGCCAGACGCTCATTCAGTCGTCTAAACCAGTACGACTGGGATGATGAAACAGCGCTCGCGTAGAGGCGTTGTCCAGCGCTGCTGTGTAAACCCATGGGGTAGCAGGCGAAAATGAGGAGGAGGACGCTGGGAGTGTTGGGAGAGGAGCCAAGACCGTGGACGTCGTCGACTGATGGGTAAATCGCCCGAGATCTTCACGGAACCCGTGAGAAATGCTAGGGAATCATCATACGGGACCCGTACATAGTTACAGAATATAACGATCTGAAGCAGGCCACGCGAAGGCGAGGCGCAGCATGGAGAGGTTGTGCAGCACGTTGACTCAACGTGCTGCACAACTAGGCTAGTTGTGCTACTTGAACTAGCAACGTCGTTGGGTGCCAGTATAAACTTGCGGGAGGATGGATTGTGTATCATCGTGTCGATAGGTCTGTAGTTTGTAGCTCGTATAGGTCATATCGTTGTTATGGTAATCGAGATCCTAACCATAGTCTTCTTGTACCTGGGTGGTACGCAGATACACGATTCAAAGATGCAATCACAATTTGTGATTCACAAAGATTCAGTATGTACTACATACTATGTAGTGCGTACTATATCTTTGTGCTATCATAAGCACGTCCTTCCCGCCGTAACCTTGTATCACATTGAGCTCCTTGGGGTATTGAGTTACCCACAGTCGGACATCGATTATCAGTCGACACTGAAGTACCAATCGACATTTGGATCACTACAATCAGCAGACTCCCAATCCACGCCCGGATACTGGAGAGTTGATCGACGATGCTTCGAATGTGGGGACACACTGTGTTGTGATGGATACGTAAGAGGTCAAGGGCCACTATCCCCGCCATTTATCAATGTAAAGATCTGCATATACTCGTTCGCGAGTATAGAGTGAAACTTTCTCAGTGCAAAACATGGCATGTAATACAAACTAAGATGTTCTTCTGCATCTACACTCCTGTGGACTTGTGTTCAGCGCAGACTGTGTACGGTTGAGGGAGGATGGTAAGCTCGGGACGCGCACTCCCCCCTGGGTCTCTGATTTAAAAAGGAGTTTCTATCGATGGAATGAGTTGCAAAGTTTTTTGACTTTCATGATGGATATGTTCTTAGTCTATATGATGGCAATAACGCCACCAGTGTGTGATGTGACTTTCTTATGATGAGGAGAGAACTATCGTACGGTAAAGCGTATACGTGTTGCTAATTATTGCCCAAAATTTGTGATAGTATTGTGCATATGTCGACATGAAGACTACCAAAGTACTGCTATCGATTATCCCCTACGATGTTTCAGACAATAATGAGAATTTGAGGTGATGTGCTCGAGGAGTTGTGTTGTGTATACGAGTTACTCGCGACCGGCACTAATGAGACTGTTCAGGATAGCAACAATTTACATATATGAATAAATCAGTTCTATAGTGAACACTGTCAACGGATATGAAATGAAACAATGTTTCAGAAGTTGATTCATGAATTGAGATTCCAGAATAGATTCATGTCTGTGATATTTTAATCAATTCTAGGATCTCACGTAGGGTTTAGATATCCTTAATAAAGTAGTCTGAGTATCAGAATTATTTACTTCAACATCGCCAACGCACCAACATCCATCTGGCTAGTTTGGCGGTAACACTCTTATTAACGATGCTATGCCTTGTGATTCGATCGAGTGATTCCTACTTGTTCACCTCAATTGAGAAATTCGAGCTGTTCGTAGGGTAACCTGCTGCGCTGTTCGTAGGGTAACCTGCTGCGCTGTTCGTAGGGTAACCTGCTGCGCTGTTCGTAGGGTAACCTGTTGCGCTGTTCGTAGGGTAACCTGCTGCGCTGTTCGTAGGGTAACCTGCTGCGCTGTTCGTAGGGTAACCTGCTGCGCTGTTCGTAGGGTAACCTGTTGCGCTGTTCGTAGGGTAACCTGCTGCGCTGTTCGTAGGGTAACCTGCTGCGCTGTTCGTAGGGTAACCTGCTGCGCTGTTCGTAGGGTAACCTGCTGCGCTGTTCGTAGGGTAACCTGCTGCGCTGTTCGTAGGGTAACCTGCTGCGCTGTTCATGCAGTTTTCATGCAGTTTGACTGACTTGAGATATTTTTACTGATAGTTTCAAATTACTCCGATTCTTGTTCACAAGATCTAGCCAACTGATGATGTGAATAAACTACTCGAGTGTCGGTGGCAAGGAGTCATACTACTCTTACGATTGTATTGGTAAATCCAATTTACACTTTAGCAATTTACTAAATTGCTTAATGCAGTCTAGGAATGCATCGAATTGAATATCATTTCCCCCGATATAGTTGTATCGGAAGCATCTCTATATTGGTATTAAATCTTTCTTATTCTATTACAGTTTTGTCTACTGTACTGTTACTACTACTGCTACGACATGGTTCTACCCAGTAAACTGCCCGTGAAGGTCTCAAGAGCTTTCACCAAGTTTTTAATGCCACGCCGGTCGAGTTTTGTATCCCTCCTCGCTGAGATCGCCACTGAGGAGAATCTTACAATGTCTCGACTTTCTATGGATTGGATTTTGCAGTTTCAGACTAGTAAGAATTTCCGAGTATTTTTCCCGGGAAATTTTTCCTGTTGTCCTCAGAAACTTCGCCATTTCGGCAAACTTCGGTTTTTGGGTATACGTTTGATGTGAATTCTGCAGCAGCCGTTGAAATTTGTAAAGAGAAAAGTGCCACTAGCATAGTTCTGGCAGAACACGGGGTAAGGGGGTGTTGAGATTAAATTGTCATATAATCTTCCCGAATTGTGGTATTGAAATCGAATACAGGGATGATCAAAAAATGAAGTAGACTATGTTGGTTCTGTCGTAAAATATT